CAGTGCCCAGCCCACCTCACCCATGCCCAGTACCCCCCTCCTTCCTCCTTCTCCCAAAAGCCCGACTCCCACGGCCCAGAACCAACTCCCGCCCCACGTCACTCCTCCGTCTAGCCCAGACACACCGCAACCCACTTCCTCCTCTTCTCCTCCCTCGGCCCATCCCACCTCGAGCCCACAACCCGCTGGCCATCCACCCCATGACCACCCGAGCTAAGGTCGGGATCTTTTGCCCTAAACGCGTCCTAAACCTAAACACCGTTGCTAGTATATCCCCTATCCCCCCACCTACCGTAGTGCTCTCAAAGATCAAAATTGGTACAATGCTATGTTAGATGAATATAATGCTTTGATTGCTAATAATACATGGGATTTAGTACCTCCCTCACCTAACCAAAATATTATCTCTGGCAAATGGCTTTTTAGACACAAACTTGGCCCTACAGGTGAACTGTCCAGGTACAAAGCTAGATGGGTTATCCGCGGATTCAATCAGCGTCATGGTATAGATTGTGATGAGACATTCAGCCCGGTGGTCAAACCGGCAACCATTCGGATTATTCTCAGCTTGGCCGTATCCCGTGGATGGCCGATCCACCAGCTCGATGTCAAGAATGCATTCCTACATGGTACTCTTACAGAGACAGTGTACACTGCCCAACCATCTGGATTCAAGGACCCTGCCCGACCCCATTATGTGTGCAGACTGAACAAGGCGCTCTACGGTCTGAAACAAGCACCCCGGTCTTGGTACCAATGGTTCACTGGCTTCCTTCTCACGCTTAGTTTCCGTGGGTGCAAGAGCGACACCTCCTTATTCATTTATGGCCAAGGGTCTCAGATGGCTTTCTTACTTCTGTATGTTGATGATATTATTCTCACAGCCTCTTCGCATAAGCTCCTACAGCGGGTCATTCAGCGGTTGAAGGGCAAGTTTGCTATGACAGATATGGGGGATCTACATTGTTTCCTTGGGATTAATGTTCAGCGCACCTCTCATGGCCTATTCTTGACACAGACTCAGTTTCTCTATGATATTCTTGATCGAGCTGGCATGCTCAACTGCAAACCTGTCTCTACCCCGGTTGACACTCGAGGAAAACTGTCCGCATTCGGAGGTGCACCTGCGCCAGACCCCACCTTATATCGTTCCATTGTGGGGGCCCTATAGTATCTCACTTTCACTCGCCCTGACATTACATATGCCGTCCAGCAGGTCTGTCTCTTCCTCCATGATCCCCGGACGCCTCATGTCACGACCATGAAGCGGGTGTTACGATACCTCCACGGCACACCATCACATGGCATCTCTATTTCCTCATCTCACACGGATCATATGCGGGCCTACTCAGATGCCGATTGGGCCGGCTGCCCTGACACTCGCTGGTCCACATCCGGCTATTGCATATTCCTTGGCGATAATCTCATTTCCTTGTCATCTAAACGCATGCTCACCACGTCCAGATCCAGTGTCGAGGTAGAATATCGAGCAGTAGCCAATGCCGTAGCCAAAGTCAGCTGGATACGCAACCTGCTTCTTGAACTCCAGCAACCCCTCAGCCGATCCACTCTTGTTTTTTGTGATAATGTGAGTGCTGTCTACCTCTCTGCAAATCCAGTCAAACACCAGCGTACGAAGCACATTGAGGTTGACATACATTTTGTTTGAGATCGAGTGGCTCTCAGCCAAGTTCGAGTACTCCACGTCCCTTCATCCCTCCAGTATGCTGACATCTTCACGAAGGGCCTTCCATCCATCATTTTTTTCGGAATTTCGGGAATGCTTGGGAGTTCGGTGTTCGGCTCCAGCGCCGTTGGGAGCATGTTAAAAATATCAAGTATATATTTTGTATATAGTAGTTTCCATGTATTGTAGAGTCTTTATTTATTATAGTTTCCTAACACAATAGGTTTCCTAACATAACTAAGGAAACCTCTACTATATATATACTCCCTTGTATTCACACATTACATCATTGGATTATATCAATTCTTCAGGTACACCAAAGGTGTACCCCATTTGTACACCACCCTTTCAATAACCACTCATTTATTTTTGATTTTTATTTACTTATTTTTTTAAATTTTCTTGCCTAATTAAGTGGTAATGGAGGGGGTGGGGAACAAATGGGGAACATCTTTGGTGTACCCCTAGCATTTTCCTTTTCTTATTCGTTTCTTGCATTAAATGTTTAACACAGCTGCGTTGACGCTCTGATAATGCAGCAAGGGGGTGGTTTTTAACGCATTGTTAATCACCGGATGGGCGGATTGCGCCGTGCTATTTCAACTGCCTTTAGAGCATCTCCAATGGGGCTTGGTATATGTGGCTTGCTATTGCTTTTTTTAGCTAATGAATAGTGGTATAACAAGTCACTTTTTTCTCCCTTCTCCAACCATGACTTGTTATATTATGCTCTCTCCTTCCAATAATGTTTTACTCATTTTTGATCAACGTGCAAAACTCCATGATTTTAAAATGATTTTATTTATAAATTGTTAAATAAAATACAAAATAAAAAATTATATTTAAAAAACTACATCAAAAAATTTACAAAATAAGAGCTGACAAAAATTTATTTTATCAAATAATCAATGAAAATACACAAATAAATAAGAGTTATCGAGAGGCCGTAATAGTAAATGGGTAATTCTTTTTTGGACGGAGGGAGTAAGTAACAAAT